GAAAATTTACAGGTTCTCACACTGCCTCCCTGTTAAGTGCATATTCATTTCACATATATTTTGCTCTGAGAATTTTGCTCACTAGCATGTTTGGCTTCAATAAGATTCTCCACAGCTGCTTTGCTAGTAGTGTTGTGTTAAAATGCTCCAAATCCCTAAATCCTAGCCCTTCTTTCCCCTTTATCTCAGTTATGCTACTCCATTTTACCCAATAAGCTTTCCTTTTCTGGTCATCTGTTCCCTACCAAAAGCTGGCAATTTGTTTGCATATATCTTTGCATAATCCTTTTGGGAGCCTAAAACAAGATATTGTGTAGTTGGCAAAGGCCATCACTACTGCTTTCAAAAGCCCTTCCTTGCCTGCTTGATTCAGTAGTTTTTCTTTCCATCCCTTTAGTTTGCTGTTTATAGTATTCTTTAATGATAAAAAAAACTTGATTCTTTGATTTGCCTATAACCATTGGAAGTCCAAGATACTTTCCACTATATGCTTCCTTCAGATTTCCTAGCTTCCAACAAATTGCTCTTCTAATGTCCAAATCTGTATTTCTGCTGAAATAGGCAATAGATTTATCAAAATTCACCTATTGACCTGAAGCTTTTGCATATTTCTCCAGTATTTCCTTGAGCACCTGAGCTTCCTAGGGTGTAGCTTTGCAACAAAGCAATGCATCAGCTGCAAAGAAAATGTGAGAAATTTCTGGACAGTTCCTACCCATATTGATTCCTATAATAGCCTTATTAGCCACAGCTTTAGCTATCGTGCAAGATAATCCTTCAGCACAAATTAAAAACAAATATGGAGACAAAGGATCTCCTTGTCTAATGCCTCTATTAGGCTATACATAACCCACTTTTTCACCATTCAAGTTAAAAGAATAGGATACAATAGAAATAGAATTCGTAATCCATTTGATCCAGAGAGGAAACAAACGCAATTTGAACATCATTCTACCTAGGAAAACCCATTCTACTTTGTCATAGGCTTTGGACATATCAAACATAATAGTCATGAATCTTTCCTTTCCTCTTCTTTTGTTTTTAAGGTAGTGCATGACTTCATGGGCTAGGATGACATTGTCTAAGATTTTTTTGCTTGAACAAAGGCAGACTGAGAGTTGCTAATGCATCTGGTTAGAACTTTTTTTAGCCTATTAGTAAATATTTTGGAGATGATCTTTGGATAGGACATTACAAAGGCTAACGGGTCTATAGTGGGATAAATTTTGTGGATGTAGCCACTTTAGGAATCAAGGTAACAAAAGTTTCATTAACAGCTTTAGGCATATATCCACTATGAAAGAAACTCTTGATATGCCAATATTTTTGAAAGAAAAGAAGAGACATACCATTTTGACAAGGGGCCTTATTTGGATGCATTGAAAAACTGTAGCGTTGATTTCCTTTTCCTCCACTGGTTTAACCAAGTTCTCATTCGTTTGAGTAGAAATTGTGTAGGGGACTTCATTCAATATCTCATCAAAGTTGTCAAGCTACAAGGATTTGAAGATGTTTTGATAGAAGCTGCATATTTCCTCTTCCATGTCTTTCGTGGTTTCATACCAATTTCCATTTTTCCTTTGGAGGCATGAAATTGTATTCTTCTTTCTTCTTGCTCCCACAGATGCATGAAAATAAGCAGTGTTCCTGTCCCCTTCTTTTAACCACTTACTTCTTGCTTTCTGACAGCAATATATTTCCTCCTCTTTATCGGACTTGCTTAATTGTTCATTCAGTTGTTTTATAGTTCTTTTGTTACCAGGATTTTTAGGCTCCTTTGCTTCTTCCAATTGCAGCTTCAATTATTTGATCTTAGTTCCTAAGTTATTTTTCCTCTTTTTGTTCCACCCTACCATTCTGCATGCCCTTGTCTTCCTTGTAACTTTGAACATTTTTTTATCCTTGTTGGTGTCCAGACTAGGCCTCACTTGTGACATCTCACACCTTCTCATCCTGCGTCCATTTTTTATAAAAACAGAATCTTTTCCAGATTGTGTTCAACCTTGAGTCAGTATATAACATCAAGATACAATGATCTGAGGCCTCTTTCTGAATATGTTGACATTTAGCATTTGGAAACTGTTGACACCACTCAGTACTACACAAAATTTTGTCCAGTTTTTCATTAATCTCTCCATTCTCCTCCCATTGATTGCAGCATGTCCAAGGCTTCCCTAAAAACCTAAACCTATGAGATTGTTGCCTTTTATGAAGTATCTAAAATCTTTAAAGCTATTCTGTTTCTCCTTCCCTCCCCCAAATTTTTCCCCGTTTGATTCAATGTCATTAAAGTCCCCAACAATGATCCATTGCTCTCCCCAATTCTCTTTTCTTGCTAAATTTTTAACCACTGCTCTTTCCTGATTCTATCATCCACACTTGCATAAATTCCTATGAAGTACCACTTACATTAATTCTCCTTGTCATCAATTTTGACTTCAATAAAGAAACCAGCATCTCTCACATTTATCACCTCTAAATCCTTATTCCAAAAAACTACTAGTCCACCTAACTTATCTAGGAAGTTCACTACATAACAGTTATCAAACTTTAAGCTTTTCCTTCCTACTTCCATGTGCCTCTTTTGATTTATAGTTTCACATAAGAAAATAACTTCAGAAGAGTGGAGGTTTATTACCTTCTTGAGCTAAGGAACTACCAAGGGGCCTCCTGCACCTTGGTAGTTCCACACCATAAATCTCATTTGGATGGCGGAGGCATTTGGGGATTAGCCCCCATTTCCCCTCCTTACAATTCAATTCCTTATTTTTCTTCAGCATTTTGCTCCTTTGCATCTCAGGTTCATTTCCTGTCATTTACACATCCTCATCTTCCCATGCTGCTTTCCTTTTGACAGGCTACAGTTGTTGAGTTTTATTTGTATTATGGATGGCTAAAGGTTGCCTCATTGTGTTTGGCAGACGTCTTGTCTTTGTGCCTCTCTTTGCCACCTTGTTCTGCATTTGGTCTATTCCATTTTCCTTACTTCCTCCTATCATCATTTCCATCTTATCTCCCCCTGAATGTGAACTTGCTCTTGGTTAAGCCATCAGCTTGTGTATATTTTCTCCCTGCACTGTTTTTGCATTCATGGCCTTTATCTCTGAATTCTTTTCCACCCCCCTTGCATCCCCTTCTTCTCCTATCTTTTGTATCCTCCAACCTGAATCAGATGAGGTGTCTTTGTACGAGTCCACCTCCATTTTCTAGATTGTTTGTCTTTCACATTCTTTTGATGGTTCCTCTTGTTGGTTCCTTTCCTTCTTATCTCTCCCCCTACCATTTATATCATCAGAGAGGTTTGTAGATCCCAATTTCTTATATGTACTTTCCTAGTTTGAATGTTCATTAAGGGGTCTAGTGACTTTTCCATCCTCCATTTTCTTGTCCCCCTTACTGTTATTGTTGTACCGGAGCCCACTTATAGATCGTAGTGGTGATGCCATAATATTTCCAGCCTTCATCGATGCTCCAAATTGCTCATCTCTTTCGTTACTTTCACCCACACTATCATCCTTGCACATTTTGTCCCCATTACCAATTCTTCCGTATCTATAACAGAAGTCTGGGCACTTCTCATATTTAAACTCAGCCCAATGTCATGTTCCGTTCAATTTAACTTTTGTTCCCCTGGCTAAAGGTTTGGAGACTTCTAGCTCTACAAAAATCTTCATATGTCTTCCTTTCTTTCCTTCTCCCACTAGGGTTATAACTTCTTTCACCGAGTCAAAAACTTCACCCAACTTGAAACCCATCGCTTTGCATAACCAGTGAATTGATAGGTTCCAAACTTGTATCCACAAAGATACCATGTTAAAAGCTGTTGGGTTATTTTCCATTCTTGCTTCCCAACTTCTTGATAACAAAATCTGGTTATCTATGATCCATGGGCTCCCAAAGAGAGCTTTCTCTTGATCTATTCATTTTCAAAATGAAATTGATACAGATTTGCTCTTAGCTCTGTTATCCTTAGGTGCCTTGGATATATCCACACATGTGAAGTAAAGTTCTTTACTCCTATAAAGTTTGCCACTTTCTTCCCTATTATCTTGTCAATCAAACTTAGTCTGCACTCATCAATCCCTTGTTCAATGTCATCCACACTTAGATCTTCTCCTTCCTTTTTTACCCTCTGACTGATCGAATCTTTGCGAAGCTGCTATTATTTCTTCAGCCATTGTGAACTTACTATGAGTTCTCCGTACAATTCCACAATGGACTTGATACCTTGGTTTAACCTGTAGATGAGAGGGTAAACCAAACAGATTTTCAATGAGTACTTACTAATTACAAGAGAGATCAAAGACAAGATATCAGAAGATGAAAGAGAACCAAATGGAAATGAAGAAAAAAAAATCAAAAAATGAGAGTACTAGAAAGAAGCTCATAAACACAGAGCTGTAACTAGGTTGAGGTCGGTGTTTTGAGCTAAGAAATTTGCTGTTTGAAGGTAGGATTCATGACAATTGGCTAATAAATGCTTCCACAAAAAGTATACTAGCTATTCAAAGTATTTATCAACAGATACAATTAAGTGAGTGCTGGTTGGATCTGGATTTGGGAGTTTGGAAGATATCTATGAATGTTTGAAGAGTTTGAAAATTGGCTCGAAGGATGGTGGTTGAACTCATGCTTGAAATTTGAAAAAGTATGTCCTTGGATTTTTCCCTCCCACACCGAGAAGAGGCTCTCATTTAAAGAGATAAGCTCTCACTTAGGGAGAATCGTCGGAGTAAAGAAGTTCAGACATTTCAAAGGTCACAAATTGGTGACTTGATATAAAGAAAGGGCACTAAAAGCAATTTGCAAGGAATATTATAACTAAAACCATGCCATTGGTCAAATTATTAGAAACAAATTTTTGACAAAAAAAATTAGAAACAACTAAAAATTAAAACTAAAACACTTAGATTGAAAATTTTATTTTGCTTCCAAACAAAGGGAATTTTTTTTTTCCCAAACAAAGGGAAATTAGTGAGCCAAAATTTCACTCAAATTGAATAAATAAAAAATGTGGAGTGTTGTGCAACCATTTGGTTAGTTGAATCCCGACGATTCCATAGAAAATCTTTCTGAACCATATAGAAAAGCCTCTCTCCCGTCGTCTCTCACTCTCTCAGTTCACACTCTCAACCTCAATACAAACGATTAACCAAAAAAGCATCTCATCCTTTTACTTTTGATCGATCATGTCCTTTTTGCGACGCTAAACAAAAGGTGTTCTCTACCAACTCTTCGCAAAGGGTAGGGCTGTCATGTCTCTTCTTTTTCTTTCCCCTAATTTTTCCCTTCTATTTGCACTAATTATTTTTTGTCAAAAATTTCTGTCCAATATTTTTGGATATTGTTTGAGTTATGGGTAAAATCATGTCATCCTTATTTTAGTTGTGGGTACAAATTTTGAGGGGTTCGAGAGTGGGTACGGTTTTGGCGTTGGGTGCGGGGCGAAGTGAAGGCTTAATTGGCTGTGGTGGTCGGAGTGGAAGAGAGGTAAGAGGTGATTATGGTGCAGGTGTGACGGTGAGTGGTTGCAAGTGAGGAAAATAGTGGGTTAAGTGGTGCTGGGTTGGGAGGGAATTAGGAAATGGTGATTGGGGGTTTAATTAAGAAAGTAGATAAGTTAGAAGGTGAAGATTGTTGTTAGGTGAAAAAATGCCCTTATTTCCTTTTTTGGGTTGAATTTTGGTAAATTGTTATGGGAATTTCAAGAGAAAACTTCATGTCCGTGACTCCATCACTGACCTAATGTCGGTTCTCTATTCTATACTGGCCTCATGTCCGTTCTTCGCTCCCTTACTGCACCCTCCCTCTCTCTCTAACATTAACTCTCAGATGCGTACATCAAGTTGTGAAGAGATCGCAATAATTTTCATAAGGCTTAATGGGAATTGGGGTATTTGAAACCAGAGGAAGAGGAGATTGTAATGGTTGTAATGGCAGCCAAACGGTTAGACTATCTTTGATATTTGAAAATTATTTGCTTTTCTTGCTCAATTTTTCCATTTCTTGCTTTAGTTTCTTTGTTGAGAATTTATTTACAAAATTAGGGTTAGAAATTTCAGGTATAAGGGTAATATACTGCTATTAAGTGGGTTATTTTTCTACCATGAATTTGGGCTCATTTCAAGCATTTAGCGTTAAAATTCTTTATTCTTGGGTAACAAAATCTCTAATTTTAGTCAAATCTAAGGTGGCCGTCTCAGATCTCCAGTTTAAGATATGATTTTTCCAAGTTTTCCGAACATCTATTTTTGGATTTCTACAAAATCCACATCTCATATTGTGAATTAGCCTCTGGAATCCCCCAGAAGGAAGCCCTTATGGTGAATGTGAACTGAAAAAAGACAATAGCAACAAATATATTCGACTAGCAATCTTTGTCTCGGCTATATTTAGAACATTGTGCTTGATATCTAAGAGAAATTGGTGCCCAATATTTTCCTACTTCCATGGCCTCTTGCCTCTTTTCAGCTACTTTGTGGGTCTGTTTGGATGTTCATTATAAATACTTGCCCAAAAATATCAAACTGTTTCATTTTTTCACCTGAACCAGAGACGAAGATTGGTAGTTTGAAAATAAATGTTTGGATGTATAGATGTAGCTATTTGTCAAAATTAAAATATGTTTATTAGCCGAAAACAAAGTGTAAATAATATGTCCAAAATAAGAAAGTAGGTTATACAATTCGAAGCTGTTTACATATCCGCCGTCCGGTCCACATGACATCTGGACTATTTGAACCAATGTTCAACCAACAAAAAATGAGTGAGCTTTATCCGGCCCATATTCATTAATCATAGACTACTCAGTTATCTGTTAAAAACGGTTCTGGTATATTGGCTACTAGACTCCTAACTTGGTTGTTCCTGCTTATATATTTATTGTATTCCGTCGGTTATTCATGATTGGATTCTTGTATTTGTGAAAGGATAGAGTTGAAGTGACTGAATTAAGGATCCGAGACTCCTCCGCCCTTCCATGTTCTGCCCCGTCCCGTTGGGCACTGGAGCCTTAATCTGTGCAGACAGATGCACCTTCATGAATTTCAAGCTAAATCTGAAAGCATTGACCTGAAGATTACTGCAATCAAGCTGATTGGTGAGAAAAGATTGTTTTGAGCATTCGAATGAGATAGTATTTTTTGGTTTCATGTTTTACTTCTTCCAAAATTTTCTGCTTTTATGGAAGTAATTGGTGTTCCTTACACTTTCCATTGGCTGTTAAGCAGCAAAAGTATAACAATTCTCCGTTCGAACTTCAGCTTCAAATCTGGCTTGGCATTAACTTCATTTCGAAATTTCTGTTCCACTAACACAGGTTAAAAAATGGCAATGGAAGGTCATAGGCTTTACTAATTCTCTCCAAATATTGACTAAAATTTCTAAGCACTGTTAAAAATTATTATCATAATCTGGAAAAAATTACTAAAGTTTGGAAATTAAAAGGGTCCTTAATCTTTTTTCAGTGTGTGCCTAAGTTTGTGAGATATTTTTGCCCTTAAAAATCTAATACTACTCGTGTGAATGCATTTTTGGCTATCTTAACACCCGAAATGACCAAAAAAGATACAATTTTATGAGTTTGGTAACCATTTTGGCTTAAAAACAGTTTAGTGATCGAATGGTGCAATCTTAAAAGGTTGAGTGACATATTTTGCCATTTGCTCAATAAGTGACTCATTTTATGTCCTTGTACCTACATAAGGTTTGCTCGATCAGAAATTGATGGGTTTAAAGAAACCTAATTGCTTGCACTTTAAATTTTGTAAAATCATTGCCTTTCTTGAATCCTAACTCCATTAACGTCTTACTTCGACTAGTTGAGTGGATTTGATGCAGACGACGTACGCCATGGATCCACAGAGCCAAAACACATCATTGCAACGGCTTCAAAATGTTGAAAAGGTAATCAATAAATTAGAGAATTTATTCCTCAAACACCTAATCTTTTAACATTTCTATGGCTATGTTGTTGATTTTTGGCTTCACAGAGAATAGTTAGGGTATTGGAGTTAGCTGGCAGCGTAATGGACGAACTGGCAAACCCTAGCGGTCCAAGAAAGGAGCTTGTTAATAGTCACTGCAGTGAATTTATGCAATTGATCAAGGTCATGATCTTCTTCCTGATCAATTTCACTACGATATGCGCATATTGCTGTCACGAAATAGGCTTTTATGTACACATGATTTGTGAGAAGGGGATATCTTTAGGATGTTTATATGAAGGGGAAGAGTTAACTTCCAAACAGAGTGAACTGAGAACTTTTCATCCAATTGCATAAAGATTTTCATTTATAAAATGTGTGCTGTTTGTCATAAAAGCAAAACAAAGCAGTATCTTTGACAATGTAGAAGTACCTTGTAGTACAATTTGCTTGCTTTGCAAATCTAATTACTGTGTCAATATTGTGAAGCATTAATCCCAAGTCCCTGTAGAGATGGTCAAATGCTATTGTGGTTGACTAGTCGTGGTGGCAAGGGAATGTGGTAATTCTTATTAGTTATTACCAGCAGTATGCTTTTTTCCTTAAGCTGGTAAGGTCTAAAAGTTACAAGTAGGGTTGCTCTGGGGTTCTGTGAAAGGTTTTAGCTTGTTGTAAACACCTACGTCATCTTAGAAGGTAATGGTGGTAGTTTCAATTTATGGCCACAGAGTGCTGAAATACTTGAGTTAGAACTGAATCAGTTTCTTTCCCTGTCAACAAAGCGAAAAGAAAAAAAATGGTTAGAAATTTTTGAATTAGAGTTGAATATATTTCTGAAATTTATGTAACCAAGAGTTCAGAGTTCATGTGGGGACTAGACTACCACCTGCAAATTTTACCATGGGTTCAAGGTTAACACTCTGGAAGGTATATCTATGTTTACATCTTTGTTTTCTTGAGTTTTATTTCGCTCTAATGACCAAACCATGAGGATGGAATTACAATTTTTTGTTTTTGTAAGTGATCAAGTCATTGCAATTTATTGCAATAAGTCAATTGCTCATGGTTTTGTTGTCTAAGGAAAGGCTATGCTTTTTGTCATATTGTTAGCTTTTGTTGTTTCTTTGGGATTTGTTTTGGAAATGCTGGTTAGAAGGATGGAAATCTTCTTGTTTGAGATTCAGATTGTTAACAATTCCTGCATTTCTCTGCAACCAGAAGAAACATGAGATTTTGTTCTGTTGCTTCATATCTTCTTTTGTTTGTGTTGTCATTTGGAAAGACAAAATTACAAGCAAGAAGATGTAGGGTTTGACAAATAATACCTCTGGCATATTGAAGAAAAAGTAAAATTGTTCTTATAAGCCCTTAAAAAAAAAAAGATTGTAGTTCTGCATATCCATTATTAAGATGTGTGGATCCTTTTTTATCTTGGTAGTTGGGCATTTTATCCACTTGTCCCTGCTCAATAGCATTGGTATAGGCTTCATATGTTATGATAGTAACGGCAATCGTGGGCTAAGCAGATGGCATTTTGCATCTCATCTTTCTAAACAGGACATCCAAGTGACACTGCGAGAAGAAATCAAAAGTGCCTGTGAGTATCGTCCTTTTGAGAAGTGTGACTACGTTCCAAGAATATCTAACGAGATCTGTTGCAAGAAACTGGAACATGTCATTGCACAGTTAGACGAAATGAAGCATACAATTGAAGGGTATCATGCTGCAGTTTGAAACTCTGTATGTTTTAGCATTCACCACTAGGTTGCTTTTATAGGATTCCTGTTATTTGAGGTTAGGATAATGGATTTAGTTGGTCTGCAAGGACATTTGATTATTTATAGGATTCCTGTTATTTGAGGTTAGGATAATGGATTTAGTTGGTCTGCAAGGACATTTGATTAGCTCTGAATGTACGCTCGTGGCAAGTAGATTTCCTATTTGCTTCTTCAGTAAGATTAGGATCGACGTAAACAAATTGTATTACAGAGCTTTGTATATATTTTTACGTTAAAAATGCTTGGTATGAAACACTTCCAGAATCTGTTGTGCAACAACGGTTAGCCTTAGATTACTACATGCTGCATATGGCATTGTGTGATCTTGTTGTTTATTCCATAAATCCCTAGCGTCTTGGTCTTGTGCACCATTCTAAAAGTTGATTTTAGAGATGTTTTTACCACTAGTACAGGATAGATGAATTTCTGCCATCTTTTAAATGGTCCGCTGCATTGAAACATGCTCTTTATACAACCTTACAGCGCGTGGTCTGTAATATGATAATTGTTGTGGGTAAAGGCATCTTCTGGTTGGTGCTGAATGCTGATTTTGTTCCACATGCAGGAGTTCTTGACGAAAAAGATTTAAATAATATGTTTAAGCTGCCGTCTTCTTAGCTTTTTCAATTACTTCTGTCTGATCTTCTACGGTTTGTTGCCAATAGTTAGTTTTCATATTCTCCAAAACTCTTCAAGTTTTTTCCCGTTATTAACATTTCTAGTTTTTTTAACCTTTTTTTGTGTTTTTGGATGAGATCTGAGGAGTCGTTTGTAGAAGTTCATCAATGACTATCGCTATCATTAACTGTTTAATGATAATGGGTTTTTGTTGAAAACCATGAGTGTTTGGTAACGAAATTTTAGGCATTAGTTTTTACATTTTTTTTCTACTTCTTTTTCTTCTAAATTTTCTTTAATTTATTAATTTCTTCTAGTATTTTGTAACTTGCTTTATTTTTAATTAAAAAAATATGAGTAATATGGGTGAGTAAACATTGATTCCCTACTAAAAATTAGTTAATCACTATTATACCAAACTCATTAAAGCAACTCCAGTGGCATGGCCGTGTAATATTCATTACACGCATCATAAGAATGATACGTATAAATGCTATTGAAAAAAGGAGATAGTGGATTCTTTTTTAACAACAGATAAATTTGGTTAAACGTGGACAATGGCTAAAATTCATGATGAAAGTCAACGTTCAATTTTTTTTTTTCAACGGTCATTTTTTGGTTCTCTCTATATAAACACATAAGACACCTTTTTTTTTTTTATATATCTCACTATCTTACTCTATTATTTCTCCCTCTCTCTCTCTCTCTCTCACTCATTTTCTTCAATCTCTTTGTACAATTTTCTAAAATTTCAATATTTTGTGAACGGTTCAAAGGCAATAACAATGAAAATTAGTATTCATTATGTTATTATTTGTATTTTATTTGATTTAAATTATGTAATATTATGTTATGGAGTTCAATTAATTACATAAAGAATTATTTGTCACCGTTTGTCGGGAGTTTTTTTGGCAAATCTTGTAATCGGTTGTTTCGTATTGAATTAATAAAGTAAGTTTAAAAAAAAAAGATATTTTCACATTTAACGTATCACATATTTGTTTAATAATTATATAATTATTTTTCAGAAAATAACAATATATTATTTTTTAAGAGATAGAAAAAGATATATTGTTCAAACTCAAAAATTAATAATATTATTTTTTAGAAAATAAAAAAATCCAAAAGGTAAAAAATTTAATGAAAGTTAATAATTTATTTTTTAAAAATAGGATCAATACCTACCGAAACTTTTGGCATTAATACAAGTATACACAACTTAATAAAATATCAAATAAAAAATTCCTACCAAGCATGGATTTGAGGGCCATAGGGGTTCAAGTCTAGATCGGGATGTCAAGGCTATAAGGGGTCAAGTCTGGATCGGGTATAGGGTTTGTTTGGCAAAAGAGTTTTTGACCAAGTTTGTCTTCTACAAATTTTTTTTTAATAATTTTAACTATAGTAAAATAAAAAACTTTTCAAAATTTATAAATTATACACTTTAAAATACCCAAAACACGCAAAACAATTTCCCTTTATCCTTTCTTCTTCCACCTCAACCCACCACCACCTCTACCACCGGCTACCTCTAACAGCACCAGTTCCCATGCCGCCCACCTCCTTTTTTTTGTTCCTTTCTCTTCTCCCTCTCCTTCTCCTCCTCCCTCCCTCTCCTTCTTCCCTCTCTTCCCCTCTCCCTCACAACCTCTCTTTCCCCCTCGCCCTTCCCCGCCATCGTCCCTTTCCCTCTCCCTCTCTGGCCGACCTGGTCGCATGACCGGATTAGGTAGAGGGGGAGGGGGAGGGAAGGGGAGGAGAGAGGAGAGAAAAAATACAAAAAAAAAAAAGGGTTTCTGCTACTGCTTGTTCCAGCTGGGAGGGAGGGGAAGGGAGAAGAAGAAGAGAGAAAAGAAAAAAAAAAGAAAGAAAAAAGAAAAAAAAAAGCTTTCCATTTGAAAAATTTTCCCTATAGCTTCTATAGTAAATTACAGTAAAATTTTAGACAAATATCCAAAAAATTCATTTGTCAAATGGGTAGTTTTATGCAGGCCAAAAGATACTGTTCTTGAAGCAAGAGTACATTATAGAAACTCGATCAAGCAAAAAGTGGATGATAGGATGCATAATTGTTATTAAATTTGTGAATATTTTCCTTTGATATTTGCCAAATATTGCATTATTAGGTAGATTTTACTTATATTTGATAATTGATGTTAATTGTAGATAAGTGGAGCGAAAAGTAGTTGAATGGGCAATTTTCCAGCATGTTATGAATTAAATTGGTGGTAGCATGATCAGGACCTGCTGTCAAGTCCAGAAAACTCGAGAAATTATCAATTACAAAGATTATCAATTACAAAGAGATGAACAAGAAATTATCAATTACAAAGATTTCTAGAATGTTTGATTATATAGCATATTTCTTTACAATTTTAAGAAAAAACTCTTCAATATTATTTATGAGACTCAAAACGAATCCATAGCATGGACGGATGAACATACTAAAATGATTAATTATTTTAAAGAAAAACTTAAGTCATTATCATGCCTAGGTATTCCTTACCCTCATACATTTATGATAGTAGCAACAGGCGCATCTAACTTAGGATATGGAGGAATACTAAAGTAAAAATTAGAAAATCAATCAGAGCAACTAGTTAGATATCATTCAGAAGCATAGTATGATCCTCAAAAGAATTACTCCACTATTAAAAAGGAAATTTTGTCTATAGTTTCTTTGCATTTCAAAATTTCAAGATGATTTATATAATAAAAAGTTCCTTCTGAGAATTGATTGTAAATCAGCAAAAGAAGTTTACAAAAAGATGTTGAAAATATAGTTTCAAAACAAATATTTACTCAGTGGCAAGGTATATAATCAGTTTTTTATTTCGAAACAGAATTCATAAAAGGGGAAGATAATTCTTTACCTAATTTTTTAACTAGAGAATTTCTACAGAGTCATGGATAAACAAAATGATTCTATAAAGCATATTAGAAGACAATATTATTCCTGAGCCAATGCGCAAAAAAGAAATCCTTTATCAAAATCGGAAAACGATCCATTATATTATAAAGCCAAATGGAGAGAGTCAGAGAATCCAACCATAACACATTTTCAAATATGACTAGATATCTCTTAAATCCTCCAGAGCAATTACTACTATTCGAGACAAATGTTTTTTGAAAAGAAGGAATATTCAAAGGTTTCAGATAATGCATCATTTCCTTACTCAACGCAGAAAAAAGGCTTCCCGTTACAAGAAATGGATAAAACAAGAATTACGAGAGATGCATAACATTATTTGTTGACATCCTGTAGAAAAATGAGCAAAGGAAACTTTTCAAAAGTTTTGTTAGTCAAAGATTATGAGATGAAAACTACTTAGATCTCTACTTCAAATACATTTCAAGTTCTTTCATATTTTCATCCATTATCATATGCTCAAACCACTCAAACTCCACCACCATCCTCTAAGAAAAACACCGAAGAAAAAATCCCAGAAAATTCAAACTCTTACTTCACTAAACCAATTACTCAACAGATTACTCTCACCAAATTCAAAGAACCTCCACCCTATAGTTCTTATTAGCCCTTACTAATAGAATATTTCCAGAAGGATGCCAATGGTGTATCGAAGACTATCAAATCTTATGAATTGATTTTATTGGACACAAATTCCGTCGAAATTTCTTCAGTTCCAGACAGAAAAGATCCAAATAAAATTTCTCATTCCAAATGTGTAATTAAAAAGGTGTGCTGACTAGATGAATGGGTATCTCTCTAATCAAAGAAAACCTTTTCAATCAGACACATTTTAGATGGCTACACATACCAGGATTACAGAATGGCCTGGTGTAGAGCCTCTCTCTTTCGTTTCTTCAATCATTCATGGTTCTTTACATTTCATGTCAATTGTGATCGAAAATTTCCAATTTGATTTTACCATTGGTAGAATTTTTTTGGTCTGCAACTCAAGAGTTTTCCCCCCAAAGCAAAAATGGAATTCCAATTATATCAAAGAAAAGCACCAGGAGAAGAATATACAAAACTAATATTATTTCATTTTGAGTTCAAAGTTCTATGGATTTTTTGTTGAAGTTACAAGATTATATAGCAACTTCCAAAACCATTCCCAATGTCATTGATTAGACAATACAAAATCAAATGGTGGACAGGCTTTACTATGGACTATTTTTTGCAAGAAAATGTTAAAAGATTTCTTCAAACGGGACAAAAACTCCAATGGCAAATACATTCAATATCCAAGGAGATTCAAAAGAAGAAGGAAAGAGATGAAAAAAATAAAAGAAAATGGATTATCAAGATCCACTCATGACTTTTTTTTTGCAAAAATTATAGAAGATTCAGACATACTCAAACAGTATATGGACCATCTCAAAAGCAAACAAGAGAAGTTAAAGGAGATTGCAAAATCTTCAAAATCTATTATGATGTAAGATCCATTTGGTGGCTCATGTGCACAAGATCCAAATTAAATATAAAAGATGCAACAATAATTCAAAAATTGTCGGTCATAATAAAATGTGACATATAAGAAGTGTCAGCATGATGATAAAATATATATTCAAATAATATCAACATAAACATGAAATGTAAATGAAATTTCAAATATAGTTACACTAGCCTACCATAAATATACATGCTTATGTATTGTAAAGGGTGTGTGTGATGCTAGTACTGTTAGAACCCTCAAAACCTCTCTTGTAAAAATTTCTTTAAACAAGAATCTCTTGAGAAGTTTTATCAAGTTTCGAGATATCTTCAACAATATTATGCTATATACAATATTCTGCTATATACAAGTAAGTCTTCATTATAACTTTTATTTTAATATTACAATCTTGTTACAATCCCGTCTATTTTAAATCTGGGTTGATTGCCATAACCAGAACCCTTTTTCTCATGTCCAAACTTTCTTGGTTTCTTTTTCCTCGCCGCTTTCCTCTCCCTGGTTTCCTTATTTACCCATCTCATGCCTTTTATTTTTTTTCCTTATATCTCTATTATTGTATTTTTCTTGATTGCTGTCCATGGATTTTCAATGTTTTTGACATGTTATTTTCTGATGATCGTTGCCTCTTCTTGGATTTTAGAATACCGGAGAGTTTGTTGCATCCTTGGATCCAAGTTGAGGCGGGTTGACTCAGATGGTTGCGGGCGATTTTTTTGAATCTCTGAGTCGACTCAGGTCGAGTCGAACGAGTATGAAAGAGTCATCGTTGATTCCTTACACATCTCTGATGAGTAACAAACCGGTCGCGGAACTTGGGATGAAGGGTTCCTTTTAGTGGAAGAAGGAAATCCAGCTTTTTGGAAGTTCCATTTACCTTTCAAGAACTTTTTGCACAAGACCAAGCCTAAATGGTTTCCCTCTACCATGCATCTTGAACAGAATCTATCAACATATACAGAATAAGAGCCGAAGAGCTCTTTAACTCTGAAGTACTTTTTGGTTTTCGTCGGCCCTCGTGAGTTGCTCGTGATTTTTAAAGGCCATCAGATTTATGGAGTTGGACACGTGTTTCTTTCTTTCTTCTCCCCACTCTCCATTTCTTCCTCCTCCTTCCTTTGTTTCCTTTCAACTCTAAACCGCAGCCGCAGCCGCAGCTAGGCAGAATTCCAACAAAAAATTCTCTCATATCCCTCCACGCCGCAACTCCAGCCCACTTATACCCTCTCCTCTAAAAAGAAGTTGTCAATCCCCTCTTCTCTCCTTCTCCGATCAACTGCAAAGCTAAAGTTTCCTTGATTCTCGCTTAAATTTTAGAAATTTTTTGGGCAATTCTTCTCCATTTCCCACAAAAAGAAAAACATGATTTCAAACAGATATCCATGGCCATGATCATGTAAGCATTTCCATCTCTCTTTCTCTTTTCCCTCTCATTATTATCATTAATGGCTCATTCCTGCTCTGAAGTATCTATGTTTTATTTGCTTAGATTAATGCGTTTAATCGCTATTGGTGCCCTAATTTGAAACTACTCTCGGGTTAGACATAAATCTGGGAATTTGTAAGATACTTAAATATGTTTCGTTGCTTAAGTTGCAACTGAAGTGGAGTAAGTGTTAAATATCTTAGATTTCACGGGGAGCATCTGGATTTTGCTCTTGCGTTGGGAAATTACTAACTGGGATACTTATGTGAGGAATCTGTTTTCTGCATGAATTGTTATGTCAGAGTGAGTTATATGGTCTACATAGTTTTCAGCTTTTGGTTTTAGTTGCTTATTTCTTGTTGCTTGCGAATGTTTTGCTCTGGTATTTTATGTGTTTGTTGGGGTTTGTGTAAGTTTGATTCATTGAGTTACTTGGAGGTTGTGGGATGTCTTGGTGCAAGTGTGACAGCGCAGCTTAGTTTTACTCCTAATTCTTTTAAGTTCCTTTTGAGGTGTAAATAATTAAGTTTTGTGACTAGACACAGGCTGACTTAAAGGTTGCAGATTTTCATGGTTTAGGTAACAATCAGTTTATGCCTTTTGGTGGAAAGCAAAAGCTTCGTCATTTTTATTTCTATAAGAGATGAATGATGCCAGGATTGTGAAATTTTTTGATATCGTCTTTCGGTTCTCCATGAAGTTTATTAGTCTCCCCATGATGGACTACGAAATGACTAAAATGCTGAATTATAGAATGAAAACCAGAAGTGATGAATATCTTGGTAAAGGTAGCCAGAAATTCAGACTCGGTATCAGTGTCCCTAGCATCCCCAGCATCTACATTGATATACTGATTAAGGATACTAAATGATTTTAGGATGATTCTCATACTCCTGGCAATGTTGTTAAAGGATGTAGCGTTCCTAATAACTGATAACGTATCTCAGGTTTTGCGGTAATTAACATTTGCCAGAGAGTGTTGTTGTTTAAATTTGCAAATTTGATCAGTCAAGATAGTATTGTTGTGTGATAGAGTCTCAATTTTGTTTTGAGCTTTATTTTGGTTATTGTTTATAGTGTGTGTTCTTTATTGTAACCTAACCTTGCTGGCATACCTATCCCTGCGTTTGCCAATTTACCTAGATTTGGCATCATGGGCTTGGTGACTAACTATTTGGGGATGGGACCTAAGGCAAGCACAAAACGATGAAGTCAGCTGTTGCAGTTTAAACAAACAATTCCTGGAAGTGGTAAAGATATCACTCACTCTTTTGTTTTGTGGGTTAAAAGCTCTACACTCTATTGCTTTCTTTTGTAGTGTAGGGGTGCATCAACGCTTGTATGTTTTAGTTGCTATTTTCCTTGGGGGAACTTGGAGATTTCTTTAATGTCTTGAGAAAATGGAGGTTTACTGCTGATGTTTGATTAGACAAGGAATAGGGAGGTGAAATTTTAACTTACCTTGATACTGGTTTTAGGTCTTACTATGTTACAGTCTGTGGTTCTTATTTTTGTTTTTTTTTTTTATGTGAGCTTACTCATGGTCTCTACATTACAAAACGGTGTGATATTTCAAATCAAATAAGCTGGTGCTACGTTGTGTGAATTATTTATGAATGTGAACAATTGATGATTATCTGTGGAAATGAGGAACTTTCTGCAGTGGAATTTGGTGGGACATTTGCATGATCTGGGTAGGCGACGGATTGAGGAGTATCCATACCAGCTTTTTACATTTTATCTTGATGGAGAATATTTAATGATGAGATTCTTCTGATTATTATCACTCCAATTGAGTTAGGCGGTAGTACAAGCATGGTTGTATCATCAGGTTTCTTTGTGAATGGTTAGTCAATGGTGCCAATATGAGATGTCGTTAGAGAAGAAGAAGCAAGATGTTAGTTACCTTTCAATTTTATTCATCTCTTCAAATCAACTAAAGTTGAATTAACGTGGACTTTGTGAGTAGTATTATGAATCACATCAATTGATATCTCACAGGCTAACAAATAGTTGCTACTTTCTTTGTATGACTGACCCACTCGCTGTCTCTCTCATTAGGTGTTAGATCCTGTGGATAAATTCTCAGAGAATGAAGCATCTGGTGTAAATGGAGTTTGAATGTCGGTGCTTAGAAATTCTCTGTTATAATCCTCTTGCTTGTTTTTAAGGTGACCTGTACTGATTCATGAGATCAATTGCATGTTGTGTCATGCACCATACTTAAATATGCTTCTGTCAATACTCTCAGCGCTCAGCAGTGGCAATTGATAATTGATGTAGTTGGTGTGTATACAACAGAATAGGTTACTTAAAAAAATCTATTAGATTTACAATTTATAGCACTGTATGGCTTTGTACAAACACATGCATGTGGTTTCAGCTGCTAGAGTTGATTGTTCTGAGGGCATCCCTATATTGTACAATGTTTTTGATCAAGATCTTTTTCACACGTTTTCTTTCCATTAGGTGGTAAATTACTAGCCCTGATGTTAGGTGAAGGTGATTTTCCTTTTTCCTCCCTTAAGGACACAGCATGCTCCAAGTCTTATAGGTTATTAGTATTTTTTGTTATCCTAGATGAATGAAATGTAAGGATAGTATTCTATAAGCAAGGTAGGCTAAAACTTGCTTACTATAATCGCAAGTTTGAATGTAAGTGTACAGCAATCATTTTTGACAACTGCACTTCTTGCATTCTTTTGTTCGTTTATTTTTTTTTTCTATAAATGAAATGGAATCTAATCATGGGATGTTTGAGAAATCAATGAAATCATCTTAATGTTAACAAGCAGCAACATATTTTCCATTTTATCCTTGGAAGTTGACTTTAAAAGTAACAAATAGCATTTGTACCTGGAACATTTCGTTTTTTGTTGTTAGTTCACATGTCAATTTACAGAGACCTGTATCAGTTTAGCAAATATCCAAAGCATCATTGTGTTCCTAATGGATATAATCAAATGTACTCATTGCAATACATTAGACTAAAGTTTTACAAATTTGGCAAATGACGGGGAAAGAAAGAGGCGTAGCTGCCATTATTTAACTACTTTTCTAGATGTACAGATATGTGTTTCATACTGCTTTGTTTTTCTTTTTTCTTTTTGTTAAGTGTACAGTGGATAGATTGAAGATTACATCTGCAAGTTGGCAAAGAGAGGAACAACAACATCTCAGAATGGTGTACTATTTTGTGTGACTCGAGGTATGGCATAGTTTAAAATTGTCACTTGTTGGAAAAAAAAAACCAACATCATCTTCATTGTTGCATTTCTGTTCTTATTGTTATAGCTTTTATAATAGATTTTTTTTAGCCGGCAGAACTTGCACATGAGATTCCTCTGTACCATCAAGTAAGCAAGAAGCTCTCTCCCAATTGGAAATAGTATGCCTTCTCATCCCCTCTCCCCTCCCCCCTCCGGGTCCTCTGTCTTTTTTTTTTGGCAAGCTGTTTCAAGATCAAATTAGGCTTGTTTTAGTTGAGTAGTTTGTTTGATGATTGTACATTCTTTTGAGTTGTGTCTTTGTTTTGTGCTGAGGTGCCAGTTTACGGTCTAGGACTTACTTCTAATTGTCTTAAGTGTTGAAAATTTTTCATGATTCTCTAAATATCTTTCTGTTATTTGGTGGAGAAAATGCGACATAGGTTGTCAGTTTTTAAGTAGTTTTTTTTTTACAACCTTAGCACATTATGAGGCCATAGTGTTCCCTGTCACTGTTTAGTAGGCTATATTTATATATTTGTCAAAAAAAGATAATTGAATCTGTTTAAATTCCCTCATTAGCCTTTTTGATGTACATTTTATGGAGGTTTTCTCATTTTCTGTTCTGGACTCATGAAGATTGGCCACCATAGGCAATCATTTGGAAATACTTGATGATGATCTCTTGCTCTCGTGTCAAGTAAAGATTTTTGGATATTTTATACTTCTACTCATTCCGGACATATAAACATTGAGATCTCAAGACAACACTTAATTAGACTAATAAGTTGCAGTGATTCAATTGTTTTTCTAATGTCCTGATTTTTGGTTTGTCTGGTGATTCTTCTCCTGAATCTTCTTATGTCATTTCTGTTATTTGTTTAGCTGGAGGATGCTCCTTTGAGTAAAGACTTGTGTGATGAGTTTCATGTTGATGCCTGTGGTGCTCAGTTACAATTCTTGATAAATTGTTATTTTTCCTTTTCTTTGTTTTTATCTATTTCACTGATTAATTTGATATTGACAAACTAGCCTTGATTTGCAGTTTCTGCTGAATTATACAACTGCCCCTAAAATTCTTCTTTTTTACTCAGTAAAAAGTTCTTGTCTTTTTGCCTTCTTTTATGATTTGTTTTTCTTCTTGCCACGGATTCCTTTTTTTTTTTTGCCTTTTACAAATGGTTTTTCTCTCGTCTCGTGTGGTGGTTCTTTTGGGGTGTTTTCCTGCTTGCATTGGTTAAGTTGTTTTCCAGTTTTGAATTTCTTTTAGCTTTTCTCTTGTGCCTCAAGTGGTTGAGTTGTTTTCCAGTTTTGAAGTTCTTATCTTGTGCTTTAGGCTATTTGATGGGATTTTCTAATATCAGCACCATAGCTCTTCTGGAGCAATCTTAATCTGTTTCCATCATGAGTAATAATTTTTCCTGTCTCAGTATACAATTGATGAAGCCTCGTTGAATGAGGCTTCCTATCCTTCAAGGGACTCATGAGCAGCATATTTGTTTCATCTCTCATTAGAAGTGTATTTTTAGGAGTTGAATGCCCTATACTTGATCTCCTCCTCTTTCCACCATTGTCAAGCTTGAGATAAACACCGTTATCATGAATCCCATGGCTAAAATTTTTTAACTACCTGAACACCCCTAATCACCCTTAACTCACCTAATGAACTCCTTTTTCATACACCTTCAGTCTATTGTCTTCCATGGCCCTTAATCCATGCGTATTTTTAAACATGCAGTCCTGAAACTTAGTGGCAAAAGCTCTATTTCTTAGTGACATAGGTCATGTTTTCTTTTTTTCTTATAGGACATTTCAGCTACTGTTTTTGATTCAATTGAATCCCAGGATGACATGACAATTAAATTATATCATGGCATTTGCAGTTGGGAAATAAACATCAAGGATAAATGTTTTCAAGAAGGGTGAAGTTCGTATTTGTATTAACAATCTGATTCGTGAGAATTAGATGCTTGTCTTGCGAAACAAATGGAAATTTGAGCTATGCCTCTATGCCTTTCTACACTTCACAGTCAAATATTTTGATGACATGGACGCTCTCTTTGACTATGCTACCAAGCACTAAACTGGTTGCTTATGCCTCAAGGTAATAGCTTTGACTTGGAATGTGCATTCCTTGGTTGCTATACTGATAATCACTCATGTTTATGCCTTTTTTTAATATTTGTAGACTGCATTCACGAGCAGGCCAGCTTGTCTAGACTTGATGAGAAGACACTATACTAACAAACTAGCCTAACAAATAGTTTAATTCCAAATTCTAAACCCAAGCAATTCCATCATCATAGTCATAAATTTGCTTCCCAAAACATGCATTCAATTCTAAAGATTTGTTCCATCCTTTAGAAATATTCTTACCATATGGTTTTATGGAATGGTCAAACTCACAATCAGCTGTTCCTATGTTTGCATAATCTTCAACATAGAATGCCATGGTTTGATTTTATATAAGTGGCTCAACTCCTGCTACATGAGTTTTAGGCATAGATGGGTTTAATCAAGTTTAAGAAGCGGAAGGCATCATTATGACTATAGACATCTTCAAGAAATTCATTTTGCCAAAAATCAAAATTCTATTACAATTAATCACACCCTAATTTCAAATCCAATACTCACACCTCCTCAAAACAAAATAATCTAGCCTACCATCAAATCTCCAAACATTTTAATATTTTAAATACAAAGAAGAAACTCTATTTGCATAACGAAACCATAACCAATAATTGTCAAGTATAAAAAGAAAAATAAATGTACTTATTAACATCTTAAAAAGTTTTTTGAATGGATGATAGACAAATAAATAAATTTACCAATTTCAATCCCTCTTCCTCTTTTGGCCAATGATCGTATTATTTATTTTATTATTATTTTGTGCCTCGTCATCTCCTTTTAATTTGACCATGAAATCGGATTTTATTTCAACAATCAAATCTAGTCCCTCAATTAAACTTGTAATTTGGCAATTCCAAAGAGAAGAAAGGAGAAATAAGAATATATAGTCGAGTTTGAGGGATTACTTGTGGTGTGATTGGCTTAGTTATAGGCAATGGTTGGTGGTAATTTGAGAGCGAGTTATAGGAGAAAAAGGTTGATGGATGAGAATGGAGTGACAGTAAATAAGAGAGAATCGTTATTAGCTGCAACTTGTAAACAGGATAGGCCGAAAAGTCATGTTTCTTTTTCTTTTTTTAATATCATTTCATTATACTGTGAATTATTTATTAAGTAAAGGTCATTATAGCCATATTATTGTGACAAGGAAGGTCAATGTAATTTATAAAACTTGAAGGGAGCCGAGAGGTTTGTGAAATTATCCTTTACAAAAATGACAAAAATAGAATTTGAATAAAGGTTTACAATATGTATTAATGTCTGATGATCAATTATTAACACACTTAAAACACACCTAACTTAATACACAATCAAAATTAATGTAACCCTGCATTGGTATCTGTTGGCCAAACCCAAAAAGTTTATATTGTTGGGAAGATTAGTCCAAAACAAAGGCGAGTAAAAAAAGAAAAATGAAAGAAAGAAAAGTGCAAAAGGTTGATAACGCCATCCGGTATTAGGCCTTGTTTGTTACAGACTTGAATCTTTGCTGAGAGTATCATTTCTTCCACAAAATTGACTCGAAAAAAGGAGTGCAATTCGCACAAAAAAAAGAGCGTAATTCTTGTTACGCAAACGTTGTACTTTCGAGTTTGTTACTTAACTAAGGCTCTCCCAGGTTGGCGACCCCGGCACCTTGCAAGAAAAAGTTATGTCAATATGAATTGTTTTATGCTTAAGAATTGCTTTCATTTTAAAAACGGTATTCAATGTTTTGTTTTCAATTGCTTGAAGCACAATATCAAATTACAGGAATATGGTTGTTGTATATCCAGTTCTGTGTTTATGTGAGTTGCGACACCTTTATCTTTGTAAACAGGTAGAAGCCTAGTGAAAAAGAACTGCCAAAGCTAGTTATGCACCACTCATTCGATGAAATGCTTAACTCATACTGGGTATTCGTTGTTGTTCAAAGTTTCCATTTTGATTATTTTGTCCAGCAAACTAGCTGTTCTTGGGATGTACCAGTCATTAACCATTTCTCAAAGCTCGTTCTTTTGTTTTTTATCAAAATTTTTCAATTTTTTCGTGTCCTTAAGACTCAACTTGATTGGAATGAGGACACCTTCCTCTGGGTAAAGCATAGAATGTTTAATGGCCTGAATTGCGCAGACGCACTTAAGTAGACAGAAAAAGGATTGTAAATGTTAATAAAGAAAAAGAAAATAAAGCAATTGCTGCATATGAGCATAAACTGTGTGACTAACTGATGTTTTTGTTTTTTTATCTTTCAGTCAGATAGGCGTTTTGGAACCCTTAAGTTGCTCTGGTGGAATATGAGGCTAAGGCAATTTCTTGGTAAATTATGTCTCCGAAGAATGATCTTGTGTAGAATGTACAGTTCAAGAGAATCCTTGCAGGATAGTTCAGATATGGTAAAAAGGGTATGTAAGATTATGATGTCTTGCCCGAAACTTGGGCTTGATACTGAGCTTGACCAAAATGGGATAAGGGTTTCCCCTGAAATTGCTGAGGAAGTACTCAAGAGATTTGAAAATGCTGGAGTGCTGGCTTACCGTTTCTTTGACTGGGCAGGGAAGCAGCGTAATTATGAGCATAGTGTTAAAGCATACCACACCATGATTGAGGCTTTAGCTAAGATAAGGCAGTATCAGTTGATGTGGGGTCTTGTGAATGCAATGAGAAGTAAGAAAATGCTTAATATTGAGACATTTTGTATCATTATGAGGAAGTATGCTAGGGCTAAGAAGGTGGAGGAGGTGGTGTACACCTTTAATATCATGAAAAAATATGATGTGCCTCCAAATGTAGCAGCATTCAATGGCTTATTGAGCGCTTTATGCAAATCAAAAAATGTGAGAAAGGCTCAGGAAATTTTTGATAACATGAAAGGTCAATTTGTTCCTGACTCAAAGACTTATAGCATATTGCTTGAGGGATGGGGAAGAGCTCCCAATCTGCCCAAGGCAAGGGAAATTTACAGAGAAATGGTGGAGGCAGGCTGTGATCCTGACATTGTGACTTATGGGATTATGGTTGATATCCTGTGCAAAGCAGGTAGGGTTGATGAAGCGGTTGAAATAGTTAAGGAGATGGAATTCAGTGGTTGTAGGCCAACATCATTTATATACAGTGTTTTGGTTCATACATATGGTATAGACAATCGGATTGAAGATGCTGTAGATACCTTCCTTGAAATGGAAAGTAGTGGAGTGGAGGTTGATGTAGCTGTCTATAACGCCTTAATTAGTGCCTTCTGCAAAGTTAACAAGTTTCAGAATGCTTACAGGGTTTTGGATGAGATGGAGGGCAAAAAGGTGACTCCCAATTCAAGGACTTGCAACATCATCTTAAACAGTTTGATTGGTTGTGGGGAGACTGATGAAGCTCTTAAAGTTTTTCGTCGGATGATTAAAATTTGTGAGCCAGATGCAGACACTTATACAGTGATGATAAAGATGTTCTGCGATAGGGATGAGCTTGAGAGGGCTTTGAAGGTATGGAAGTACATGAAAAAGAAAAGGTTCGTTCCTAGCCTGCATACCATATCAGCCCTTATCAATGGATTATGTGACAAGGCGGATGCCTCTAGGGCTTGTGTCTTAATGGAAGAGATGATAGAGAATGGAATTCGTCCAGGAAGAGTGACTTTTGGCAAGTTAAGAAATCTGCTTCTGAAGGAAGGGAGAGAAGATGTACTTGAATTTCTTCAGGAAAAAATGAACCTTTTGGTTAAGGAGCCTTTATGTGATTGAGAATCAGGAGTTCTGTGGGACAGTTAATTAAGATGAAGAATCAAGAACCCAGATTCATGCAGTTTGAAAATTTACAATGCCGAAGGTAGGAAAAGACACCTGTTACCTGTTTAAGCAAGTGCTGCATTTAACCGGTAATCTATTATTTTCCAGGATTCTTATAATTTGAATCTCTCACTGATCATTGAACTGTCTTGTTTCATTGTCGTGACCCTCTTTCAACCTCACCTGTCTAAATCCAACAAATGATTTTTTTTTTTTTGCCTTAAAGCAAGTATTTTGAGCATTTGTTAATGTGATTGCAACACATGATCTGTCATCCATCTTCCTTTTGCTGAGTATTATATCTAACAAACTTTTATTGCCATTTCATCTTATCTGTAGCTATGGCTATGAGACTAGTTAAGAGTTGGTCTGGCAGGTTTCTGGTAGGAAAAAGTATCTTTTTTATGCTGTACTTATTATATTGCGGATTCAGGAATATTTAGGTATTCTGAAGTTTACATTTTTCCAGGTTCTTGCCTTCCAAATGTTCCAGAAGTTGCAATTTAGGCATTTGCCAGAAACTGTAGTTCGCACCACGGTTTGGACCGAAATTTGAGTTCCATGAAGCAAATACTGTAAGATACTTGTATAAAAACAGTTTTGAGAACCACTTTTAGCACTGCATATGGAATGCATTGGTTGGCAAAAAAATGAATACGTAGACAACCATGCAGACTTTAAACTACAAAATAGGGATTAAAACTTCTTAATTTAGAGATCATTTTGGAAAACGAAATACCTAGTGGTATTTTCTTATTCCTATTAATAAATGAAAATTTTATACCATGGGTACAGTCTTTGAATTCCTCTTCAGATGAATCGGATAACAATAAAAGAGTTCTAAGATTGTAGAATATAAAGAAATATCTCGTTGGCACAAAAAGTGTGATCATTGGTACGAGCCAAAGGACTTTCCACTAGAATTGATACATGGTTATTGATCACACTCTTTGTGCCAACGAGATATTCCTTTATATTCTACAATCTTAGAACTCTTTTATTGTTATCTGATTCATCTGAAGAGGAATTCAAAGACTGTACCCATGGTATTTTAATGTCATTGTTTAGCTCGATTGACTCATAGTCAACTAAATCTAAGAATCCAATCATTTTTTTTTTCAAACTACTATATTGACAATTGGATCAATGTTGTTGTGTACAATGAAGATGCCTTTATATTAGCTTAGTATTGCCTTTTTTTGTCGCGTGAATCATAATATATACTTCTGGTCACACCCTATTCTAAACTTCATGAAAAATAGTAAACTTGATTCTCATGTTAAGCAAGAATTGGAGTGAGATAAAAAAAAGAATTTCCTAAATTCCAGCTAAAGTAGCTCTATGTTTCAGCATTACTTTTTCTCTCCTATAAAGTTTGATATATTTGAATCATCACATCCCAGCCGTGCCTTTCTATAAATCTAAATAAATATTCATACTATTTTCGTGAAATGATTATGCCTTCTACTTATTCACGTATATTGATGCTTAGCCGTGTACACAAAATATTAACCAACAAACTTTTTTGTTCCATGAATCCATATGTTTAAGAGGGCATGTTTTATGTTTATACCAACGCGCAATGCGCGTTTTATGCCTCCTAGTTCTTCTATACATGTGCATATGGAAATAAATCAATAATTGAAGACAAATTGAGTTATTTCTTGGAAAAGAATTGCAGATGCTAAAACTATTGAATAAATCTTATGCACTGACATTATATATACTATTATCGTTAAATTCAAAACACATATATAAAAAGAATAAATTTTATATACACTGTCAGTGTATACACTATTATTAGTTGGATGAATGATACATAAGCAAATTTTGAATTTCAAATTCAAAATTTACACATGTGTCATATATCTAATAGTAATAGTGTATATAAGATTAATTTATATAAAAATTGAATTTCAAATATAAATTTTGTATTATTATCATTTATTCAAGGTTGACCAAAGTTGATAGTATATAGTTGACAATGTATACACTATTAATGCAAGTAAAATTAATCTAAAACTATTTCACTCTTTTCTTGCTCATGTTTCAATTAATTGGCTATTCTTGATTTTCTTTCTGAGTATACTCACTTCCTTTTTTTCTCCAAAGATACATCAAATATCGTGCGCCTGTTAAACAAATACATATTTGTTGAAACTTTAACCAGGACATAAATTAATTTGAGATTACAAATGCCAAAAACAGCAAGAATTGCTGGACTCGAAGCAGTAGATAGGTTTGATATTCTCTTGATTAAATTGGAGAATGTACAAAATAACTTGGTTATGAGAAAATAGTGTATATTAGTGCGTTTTTTAATCACCTAGATGATATATATATATATATATATATATATATATATATATATATATATATATAAAAAATCATAGCTAGACACAGACTATACAGAAGTAGTTTTATGAAATTTTAGCAAAAGAGTAGAAAAGATACATTTTCATGTCTATGATGGGATTGTATCTGATACATATGCTAATATGCTAATTTAACAGAATGAACCCATCTGTGGACAATTTCTCTATGGCTGCAATGGATGTATACTGACGTGCATATTAAAAAAAGTGATTTTTTTTTTTTTTTACCTCTCCCACTCCCCCTATTTCTTCCCTACCTTAAACCTGCTAGTCAGGATTGAATTCTGGTTTTTCAGGCAGGAGTTCAACCTTATTTGAACTTTCAAACAATTTAATAACAAAAATTCTCCTCCTATATATGTTATTTCTACTCCTTGAATTTTCCTTTCAAGCTTCATGTTCTTTTCTTCTTAGAAAAAAAAAATCTAGCAACAGAGGAGTGAAATTTAAGGAGCAAGGAGGGGAAGGAGGGATTCGAACCCAGAAACTCTAAATCCTGAGGGGGATTTAAGCTCTAAATTCTTCTCCCATCATTCCTTTGTAAAAAAAAAAAAAAAAAAAAAATTGTTACACATAATCTCTTGCAATTTTCTTTTTTCTTTCATTTTTTCAGAATAAAAAAGAAATATCCTATTGTGAACTCATCTCAATCACGCACTCGTAGCAAATACACTGGAATAGTGATCTCCAAATTTGAGCAGTATCGGACAAGTTCGAGTCCTTCCATTTATACTAAAAAAAAAAAAGATGCTTTACTACAAGTTGTTTTAGCCCAACTAATCTCACTGATTATGTACATGAAAATATATGTTAATTGGCCTAATCAATAATTTAATTGTAGTCTTTGTAGATCATAAAGAGAAGAAAATGCTAGAAAGAGAACTTTACTTCAGAAAAACACTCGAATGAAGAATACTTGGAAGGCGTGATTCCCACCTCACAACATCACCAATTTAAGATGATTAAAGCGTTTCCAGGCCAGTAATAAGTCGGGCGCCTTCAGTTGTCCATACGTGAAAATGCATGTGCTAGGTCTTGCACCCGTCGAAAGTGCTGCTAGCTATCCTTGGCCCAAAAAGGCCGGTGCCATGAAGTTGCTACGTTGCCACCAATTACCTATTTTACCCCTCATTGGTAATTAATGTTGGTTTCTGGAACTGATTTGCTAGTGTGTTTGCCCATGAGCATAAACGGCTCCTTTTCCCTCTTCTTTCCCAACAGCCCTGGCTGTCCACTTTTATTGTGCAATTCTCAAGCTAAACTGGATCAATAACCTAAAACTACAATACTAGATACACCTTTTCATAGCTGGCTCTATAACATCCATCCGAATTTGGGTCAGTCTATCCGCACCCCGTTGTTATGCTCTTCGAAACACCTCGAACGCTTGCCTTTTGACCCAGCAACGCCTCCAAGTTTGGGGCGTTCATGAAGAAATCAGACACTAGCAACCATTTTTCCTCCTATAGTGTCTTATGAAAGTTAAAACCAGCAGAATTGTTAACAAGAAGGCCCGTGACATTGCTTAACCGGAATGTTTTAGTTTTTGGTCTTCAAACACAGTTCAAGATTTGGCAGCATATGCTTGCATAGCCAAACATAGTTCTTATAGGTTAACATAAATGGCAATGCAATTAGTGAATAGGAAACATAAACTATTAAAATACGAAAAGGGTCCAAGTAACCAAACTACAAGGTCATATATTTCCATGTAATCATCCAAAAAGGAACAAATTTCTCCAGGTTAAAAACTACAAAATGTACAAAAAAAAGAAAGGGGTAAAAAAGCACTGACGGTTCCAAAGGCCAGCATTTGCATAGGATGGTATGAACAACACCTTGCAAGCAAAATCTCTATGGCATAACTGCAAATCCAATGTCATAACAAATATCTGTATGATGATGTATTGGTGTCAAACAGGGCCTGAACTTGTTCTTCGCAGCTGATACTTCGGCTCTGGTGGTGGCACAGTTGTTAATGCTTTCTCCATCTCCTGCAAATATATCAGTAAGATTATAAAGTTATAACATCCAAAGAGAAAGTTGTAAATAATTGCAACTCATCTTGTAAGCGACCAAATCTCAACCACAGAATCGTGAGTAGGCTGATGATAATCTACATTAGCAAGGTTCCAGTAATCTTGTCAACTGCCGCTGCAGCAGCAGCAATAGTAACAGCATTGCCCAGAATTCAAATTCACATTGATTTCCATTCCACCCACGAAATAAAATCTGATGTAGAAGCTACTTGTTACAAGTTGACTCTCATTCTGATGTGTCTAGTGAGGCCAAGCATACAAAAGGCAAGAAACTATGCACAGCACTCCACTTGTAATTTGCTCAACCAAGTACGTATGCTGGTATGCTAATACTGTGCACTAATCACAATTGTCGACACTATGCTATGCTATGCATTAGCTTTCATTCTCCAAAGTGCACTCCACTCTGATGAGCCTATTGCTGCCTCTATTCAAGGTAACAAGCATCATACTTCTATGCGAAAAAATAATTCACAAAAACCACAAAGTCCAAGACAAACTTTCAACTTCAATGTCCAGGTTAGGCATATCATTGCAAAGGCATCTAATGCCATACCATATCAATTAATTCCACCAGCAAATTTTACAATACAATATACAAAACAACTTGAGAGCAATTATGACAGGAAATAATAGTAATGGATTGACTTTTGGAAAACATTGACCTGTTGTCAGAAAATTATTGAAGTATGTTCAATTTTGGTCATGTACATTCCAACTCTAGTTCCAATCTCAAGATGAAGAAAAATGTTTGAATGATTTAGAGCCTTCACGAACTCAAATACCACTTCTAAGTAGTCATACTACCTACCATAAAAATAACAAAAGCTATTACTTTTTCATAGGTCTCCAGTGGATATTATTACTTGAGACTTCAACACAGGACTTTTATAGTAGTGGCCTAATTTCCTTCCAAGTGAATATGACTAGCTAGCAATTGTAGCAATAAAATTATCCTGTACATAAAAGGGTCCAATCTCATTGATTTCTATATGTCAATGGCCAACATCATTAAATTAAATGTTAAATCCCCACATCATTGCTTCCAGACATGGAAACTTTTGAGCCTTCTATGGCTAAATCAACAATTTATAATTAGATTAGGAGTGGCGCATAAGCAATTCACTCGATTTGCTATTTGTTGTGCACAGCATATGCAACACAAGGGCCAAAGAAGCAGAACAAAATAATCATATCTACATCTATTAATGAATATCACAAATAAAAAATGAACTAAGACTGAAACTCAGACTAGGCAGCAGCTTGGCCAAGCTCAGGCAAGGGTCACGAGGTCAGGTATCAACGGGTTCAACCAGTTAGACCAAGGTCAAATAACCGGAGAAAAGGAAGATGTTGCAACATCATATATATTTTTATATGTAAAACAAAAAAAAATACAGAAAATTACCCTCATTGGTGACTTTATAAATAATACAAAGGATTCAGTAAAAAAATTGAAGAAACTAAGGCCAGAAATGTAACTTGGAAAATGTTTATGGCTCTATTTACAGTTTCTCAAAACATTAGGGATCAAAATAGAAGAGTAAGATTGTAAGGAACATCAAAAGTTACTATTAAATAATGAAACCTAAATCTTTGTAAGCGGTCAGCGTCTATTTCTCTGCACGCTGACATCATACCTTCTTCCTTGTA